ATCGTTTATGTTTTCCAAACACGTCTTTCCAGAAAATCCATTCAAACACGTGCAATGAAATCCATTTATAAGGTCTGTGCAAGTTGCATTATTTTGACAAGGGGAGGATCGACACTCATCTAAATCAATTTCACATCGTGTGCCTAAAATAAACAGCATCCCATGCAAGCAACGTAAAACAAATATTTAAAAAAAAATCAAAATTATTTTTGAATACATGATGGGTTTTGATGATTGGCATACCAATGACTCATTACTGATAACTATGATCAAACGAAAACTCGTTATTTAAGATGAATTACAAAATAATGATAAAACGTGCGAAAATCAGGTTGTCAAACTATCCTTTCTATATAAAACATTCAGTGTTTATATTAACTGCATCTCTTTTAGTTCAAAAGGACACTCATATTAGGAGATAACGAACAGTATTCACGATAAAAAAAATTCCATAAAACAGTACACAATAGGAGCAGAGTAAACACGGACCTCCGAAACATCAGAGGTGGGATCAGGTTCCATGGGGGAGTGAGCATCGGTCACATCCGCCGTGTGCTCCTTGTCATGATCGGGAAATAACAAAAAATCTGTCACCAATTTAGTGTGTAAATAATGAACTAACAAATTGTATGAAAAAACGTCAGTCAGAATTCGACTTAATGATAAACTGTATTTGCTGACAAAGTCATTGTATCGACCATAGAACTTACAAAATGATGATTTTAAATAAGACTGTTGAAATTCTTGTTTCACCAACTTGTTTGTCAATAATTAAAATAAATTTATCTCGTTTTAGAAATTGTGTGTACGTACACTGACTCTGCCGTATCGAATCAGCTGAGATGTATAAACTATCTATGCTGGTGATGAAGGTATTTTGCTTCATATTAGTAAGGAAAGAGAAATTATTTATTTTTAATCGTTTTATTTGCGCTTTTATGCAAAGAATTTACAAACTTCTTTGGAAAACTTGTAACTATTTTAAAATTGTGACGCAATATTAGTCAGGTGTATGACGTCACTGATACATCAATGGGAACGCGTATTCAACCTGAATAATACTGCCAATCTTACGTTTAAAGGCGAAAATGAATTCTATTTTGAAAATAAAGTAGTAATTTTTTGTTAAATAATTTTATTTTGTGTATATATTCTAAATATTTCAGTAGGATTTCGATAGTAAGGTGTTTAGCAGATTTACCGATGCCACGGGAGATAACTCTTACATCACAAAATTTCATAAAAACGTCTCTATATTTTGACAGAAAACTACTATCAAAAGTGTTTTGCCCACCAATTTTATTTTTGAAACTGAAAGACAAAATATTTCTAGATTTAGTTCAGCTTGAATTATAGTCCTGTCAAATAAGTATTGGAAATTACAGTTCTTTGCTTCTGACCTAAATTCAATGGTTTATATAGGGGAATTCAAGAACACGAAACAAAAGGATATTTTACTAAATAAGCAATTTTAAAACAAATCTTCGATTACATTATTCCATATGGACTACATTGATATTGTTTTCAATAAAATTTCAAATATTCGTCACATTCGATGTGCCGCCTATTAATACAACCCTGCCTGGTTTTTCGGCGGACTACCTCTTAACAAATGAAAAAATAAATTCATCACGTTTATCATAGAGCATGGTTGTTAGATTACCGTTAACGTCTTTTTCAAGTAAAATATCCAAATATGAAAAGGTTGAGTAAAAATTATTTGGTACCCTTTATCTCAGTATCACCTGTATATATCGTATCGACATATCGACAGAATGGAAATTACCATTGATAATTGACAATACGTCGTCGATATATCTAAATGTCGATTTGAAGGCCACAGCAAGTGTTTTCTTCTTTTCACGCGTAAGATTTTGGACAAATTATGCTTCATATGAATACAAAAATAGGTCTGATAATAACAGGGCGCAGTTAGTACACATGGATTTTTTAATAGATTGTTGGAATATTTGTCTCCAAAACAAAATATATGTTGTCATCAGAAATTCGAGCATCTTTTTGATGTTAACTTCCGAGTACATAGGCTTGTGTGTACAATCAAGATATTTTTAGCAAAATAATTTCGCAAAAAACACCGGAAAGAACAATGGCAAAGTAAGTAAATTTACGAGTTCCATTTTTATTGAAAAGCAGCTGTCAATGATACCAAAAAGCCTGAATTTTAATGAATCGTGGAAATAGTGTATAAATTTGAAAAGTCGAAAATTTTAATCTGTTGACTTTGGTAAAATCTTGTGATTTCAAATTGCCCATTACTATAGCATCCCCAATTTTTCTTTGTATACAGCCCCGCGCAGTTTTTAAGTTTATATGGTTTTTCGCACAAATTAAGGTCACATTCTTCTCGCAATAAAATTAAGGTCACTTTTTTCTTGCAGTGAATTTCAACTTGGTTCAAAAGAACGCGATACAATGACTGCTGCATTTGACGAGAAACCGTGAAAAAAACATATTGAAATTATCACAATCCATCAGCCATGAACTTATTAAAATCCTACCAATAACTTAAAGATAAACACGCTATAAACGCTATTTCAATATTGCTGATTTCCAAATATACTACAACGCAGAGGATGTCCATAGGTCTACTGGGCTTGAAATTGAGACCTTCCAAAATTATAACAATTGTGTACAGGGCATAAACACGGACCTCGTAATATTGGCGAGGTAGGATCAGGTGTCCAGGAGGATTAAACATTCCCTGATGACCGGTCACACCTGCCCTGAACCCCATATAAGTATAAACACATAATAGCCAAAATGCAACGGGATCTTAGGTTCTCTTTGCTAACACGCTTATTATAATGACCGAAGAATTTTAATTTTTAAAGAAATAGTTTAAATACTGATGTTATGGAAATCAATGTCATCAACTAGTCAAGCTGCTTTAAATTTTGGGTCGGCTAATTTTTTTTACATTTACAGTAACAATATTGATAAGCATGAAAACGACAAAATACATATTGAAAGCAAATTGGAAACACATATATCTGCAAAAGAATTTCCATTCGCAAAAGCAATAATACACATTTTAATAACTGATTCGTATTCAGATGATTATATGTACTAACCGTTGAATCCGTCCGCACAGACACAAAGAAAGCCTCCGTGTGAGTTGACACAGGTGGCGCTATTTACACAGGGTGAACTGAGACAGTTGTCAATCTGGACATGACATAGTGTCCCCTGCCAGCCTGCAACAAAGTTTTATCCTACATTTTAATATTTTTCATCTATTTACGAATGTCTTCTCCCTAATATGATACATGGCGGACCCCCGACTCTCTTCATAGTACTCAGGATTTTTTTTTTTTTTTGGGGGGGGGGGGTTATTGTCACTAACTGTCTTTTATTAGCTCTTCTGAGCCAAAGGCTCAAAGAGCTAATGCTATGGCCATTTGTGCGGTGTGCGTTAACTTTTTAGAACATGGGCCATAACTCAAGAACCCCTCGGCCAATCAGTGTCAAATTTGTCACAGGGTATCCTTGGCCCAAGGGCTACCCTTTATACTAAATTAAGGGTTGGGACCTTTAAACAAGGGGAGATAATCAGGAAAACAAAACCAAAAGTACTGGTTGCTAAAAAATCTTCTCCAGAACCACCAGGCAGATTTCCATCAAACTTACATACAAGGATCAGGATATGTTGAAGATTAAAAAGTGTTCAAGGCATGACCCTCGGGCAAAGGGCGTGGTCTCAAGGTCACTTCAAAGTTGACCTAAATTTACAAATAATAAAAACGTTTATATTTTGCTTACTATTAGGACTAGGATCATCAAATCTTGTAAGTTGATGCATCTCAGGACTTCACATCATGTTAACTCAAAAGTAGGTCACGGTGACCTACTTTTCAAATTTTGTGGGCATTTGTTTTCAAATTGATTTGAAGGCATATTTCAGGCACTTTAAGGCCTATGATCATCAAACTTTGTCAGTTGATGCATCTTGGGTCCTTGAACAACGTCAGCTTAAAAGTAGGTCACCGTGACCTACTTATTGAACTTTATGACTAATTCTTCTTAAAACATTTAATCCAATTATTTCAGACACTGAGAGGTTTAGAATCATCAAATCTTCTTAATTGATGCATCTTGGGACCTTAAAACATATTTATGAAAAAGTAGGTCACTGTGACCTACTTTTTGAATTTTGCAGGCATTTGTTTTCGAATTGTTTAAAAGGCATATTTTGATTACCTTCAGACCTAGGATCATCAAACTTGGTCAGCAGATGCATCTTGTGACTTTGAAAAATGTCGACCAAAATATAGGTCACGATGACCTAGTTTCAACATTTTATGGCTATATTTTAGTATCTTAGGTATTTATTGGCTTAGAATCATCAAACTTTGTGAGTTGATGCATCTTGGGTTTTCAGAGAGTAACAAACAAAAAGTAGGTCACGGTGACCTACTTTTGACATTTTATGGCTATATTTTAGTATCTTAGGTATTTATTGGCTTAGAATCGTCAAACTTTGTGAGTTGATGCGTCTTGGGTTTTCGGAAAGTGATGACCAAAAAGTAGGTCACAGTGACCTACTTTTGACATTTTATGGCTTTATTTAAGTATCTACGGTACTTATTGGCTTAGAATCATCAAATTTTGTAAGTTGATGCATCTTGGGTTTTCGGAGAATGATGTCCAAAAAGTAGGTCACTGTGACCTACTTTCGACTTTTTATGGCTATATTTTAGTATCTTAGGTATTTATTATCTTAGAATCGTCAAACTTTGTGAGTTGATGCGTCTTGGGTTTTCGGAAAGTGATGACCAAAAAGTAGGTCACAGTGACCTACTTTTGACATTTTATGGCTTTATTTAATTATCTACGGTACTTATTGGTTTAGAATCATCAAATTTTGTAAGTTGATGCATCTTGGGTTTTCGGAGAATGATGTCAAAAAAGTAGGTCACGGTGACTACTCTCGACATTTTATAGCTTTATTTAAGTATCTATGGTACTAACTGGTTTAGAATCACTAAACTTTGTTTGTTGATGCATCTTTGGTTTTTAAGAGAATGTCGATCAAAAAGTAGGTCATGGTGACCTACTTTTGAATATCTCAGGTACTTTTTGGCTTAGAATCATCAAACTTTGTCAGTTGATGTATCTTGGGTTTTCAAAGAATGTAGACAAAAAAGTAGGTCATGGTGACCTACTTTTAAATATCTCAAATACGTATTGGCTTAGAATCTTCAATCTTTGTTTATTAATGCATCTTGAGTCCTCAGAAAACTTCAATCTTAATATAGGTCACTGTGATGTACTTATGTTTTTTATAGTTTTATCATTAAAAATATTTTCAGTCATTATTGGCTAAGAATCATTAAACTTTGTCAGTTGATGCAACTTGGGTCTTAGGATACTTAAGTTTAGAGATTTCAAATAGAAGTGATAGACTGTACAATTTATCAGAAGAGCGATTCAAGGCCCTTGGGCCTCTTGTTTATTTTATCAAAATAAGTATACACCTATATATGAAGTCATGTACTTTAATTTGGAATAAAATTCAGACAAATTATAATTAAGTGAGTATGCACCGATATCTACGTTCTATTACACATAATTATATAAACTTTCCTGTATTAAAAATCAGAACTTACATTTTTAACACATTTCTGATGTCCCTTTTCTATGCTGCTTAAATTAATATCTTATTTACATGTATCTTTAAATTATTTAAATTATTTGAACCGATTTCCACTCTTTATATTACAAAAATCAAGATATCCTCTCCATTTAAACATATAAATGAACCTTATTTACCTTTTGAACACGTTCATTTTCTATGTAACAAAATATATAATTTACCATTTTTAAAAATATTGATGACATCCACTGTTGATGAAACGAAAAACTATTTACCTTTCAAACATATTTTAGATCCCGTATTGGGGTCACAGGTATAGTGTCCGAAACGATCGTCACGTGACTGACAGAAAGTGGCACAGTTTTCCCCATAATAATCCTGGTCGCAGTAAACCTTCAATCTTAACCATAACCTGCAATTAAAAAGGTGTATTTGATGAAACTTAAATTACAATGGAGTATATCTGGCTTGTATAATAAATGTGGAGATTATTCAGCGGTCTGTTTCTTTTCTTTTTTTTTTTTTTTTTTTGAGAATGTGATCTCAGAAGGAACTGTTACCTGTCTTTGAAACTGAATGTACTTTATACTCACATTTCTTCTTTAAAATATTGAACTTGAAACTTGAGAGAGAAATATTGAAATATAAAACATTTTCATTTACCTGCACATATGGCCATAACAAATTTTAACCTTTCCCTTATTTTCCAGGGTTATTTTATTCCAAATGCAAAATTAATTTCAATAGAATATTCAAAGTTCTTTATATCTTATCATAACCAAACTTTGCAAAAAGTAGATTGAGTTGTGTCCATTTGCTGGCCCAACCAAGAATGTCAGGTTTTTCATGTCAAAGTTACAAATCAAAAACCTACGAAGGGTTATGTAAAATATCTCATGGTTTCACCCCAAAGATGGCCACCAAATGACACGGATTTTGAAGTCTTTGCTCCCTGTCCAGTTTTCGGCTGTACATACAGAGGTCATAGTGTAAAACTCACAAGGTCAAGACCAGAAATCCATACGTTTATAGAGGATGTACAGGTCACTTGTATTATAAGGTTTATAAAAGCTTACGTTGTGCGTGAGCTGAGAGTGTACGGTACTAACGAAGCGGAAGTGACGTTGAAACCAGGAATAGTTCTATAAATAGCAGCCAGGAAGTCAACGTAATCATCGCTGTTGTCGTCAACATCCCATACTTCTACCTTAATCTTAATGCCACCCTGCAAAGGAACTTTTAATTAAAAATTCTAAACGGTGTTATTTAATTCATACCAATACATACATCATTAAATATCACAGGTATACGATTTTATAATTAAGACTTACCGGCCATAGGGCGAAGGGAAATATCATTGGGTTTGCCACACCTCCTACATTTCCACCGAAGTAGTTGTTGTTATTGTTGGAAACTTCGCCTGTTGATTTTCTTCCATAAGGACACCTGTATACATTGTTGGGTCTACAATACAATCAATGCGACTGATATTCTGTGTTGAATTTATTTTAGAAGCAATATGTGTACATGTATAGACTGAAAATCAAGAACCAGAACTCTTTGAGATTGGGCAAACCATATGTTGTGTTCTTTGTAGGTCTTGCCCTTGTCGTATAATTTAGGAAGAGAAGAGTCACCTGATACCGTTTTAAGCATTACAACATTTAATGATCTTTTCAAGCAAGTTTTTTTCATCTCACCATTTGACTGACAGTACTCGAGCATTTCGGTACTTTCAGTACATTGATTTTCATCTCACCCATTTGACTGGTCCAGACAGATGGTAAATCTGTGGTCACAGTCACTTCCGCTGAAGAAGAATTTCCCGTCACACGGATGTCCGTTTCTCCCCCGGCCCCCAGGATTGTAGTAACGCACCATAGTCAAAGAGATGTGTCCGGACCCCTCACATAGCTGTCAAAAAATATATAATGTTGCAGTAATCTTCTCATTTTAGCTGTAGTATAGTAATATATACCGTAGCGTATATATTATATATTAAGCAAAAAGCCTGTAGCCTACACATCATTTTCTCAGGGATAAAAATTTAGATGAAAAAATAGGAAAGAGGAGTTGATAATAAATTTCATGCCCATTAAATACATTTAGTTGCAAAAACAAAAAATTCACATTTTTATACCTATCACATGTAATTTTTTTCAGTTGTGCTTTTTATAGCCGAAATTCAAGTGTTCTATTAAAGTCAAATAAGGTTTAATTTGCTTTTGATAAGTTCAGACTATTACTGAAATAAAAAGTTAAAGGTCCAAAATGGTAAAAAATTAATTTGAACGTAAAATAGCAATCAATGCTTAATTTAAGTCTTATCAGACAATTTCAAGAGAATCGACAGTCACAGGATTAGTGCAGGATGTCAAATTGATAACTGGAAATATTTTTGGAAGTTAAATGTATTGATAAGGAGATTTCCCTATTTTCTAAGCAGAGTAAAATATTTAATCAGTTCTCAATTTTGTTATATAGTGGTCTTCCTATCATGATATTGTCTACCAACACTGCGCCTCAGGTTAAATCTGTAACTTCACACCAGCCTACAATAACCAGAAGTCTCTGTCGAGACTGTAGCTCTACTGGTTTGTACTTATAATAAAGGAAGAAAAGTAGCAGTTGGGACATAAAACTTTACATAAAACTTTACAAAAGCAATAAATAGAGAAAATGATCCTTGATTAAGTATCTTTTTGTAACAAGATTGCAATAAGACTACAACTGTAGAAGAAGCCATTTTAATAAAATTTTACAGAATTTTCAATTTAGTTACCATATATAGTACCATAGCAACATTGTTCATCAAAAACACAATGAAAACTGATAATAATGTATCTCAGTGTAGTCTAACTTGCATACCAAATTATATTATAATCAGGCTAAACTGTATTTGTAGTTGCATTTTTGAATGTATTTCAAAGAAATTTCAATTTTTTGTAACCTAAGCAACACCGTTCATCGAAATCAAAAACCGAAACACAGAATAATGTATCTTAGTGTAGTCTACTTGTGTGCCAAGTTATATTGAAATCGGACCAAAACTGTAGGAGGAGTAGCATTTTGAATGTTTTTCACAGAAATTTCTAATTTTAGAAACCACGGCAACACCGTTCATCGAAATCAAAAACCGATTCACAGAATAATGTATCTTAGTGTAGACTACTTGTGTGCCAAGTTATGCTGAAAACAGACCAAATCTGTAGGTGGAGTAGCATTTTAAAAGTATTTCACAGAAATTTTTATTTTTAGTAACCACGGCAACACCGTTCATCGAAATCAAAAACCCATACATAGAATTATGTATCTTGGTTTAGTCTACTTGCGTGTTAGGTATTATTGAAATCAGATCAAATTTTAAAACTGTATGAGGAGTAGCATTTTGAAAAAATTGTATACAGACAGACAGAGGGACGCATTATTATCGCATAAGCTCTTCTGGTCTCTGACCAGTAGAGCTAAAAAAAGAAGACACTGGAAAATTCTGAGTTCTAACATCAACTGAACAGTATATTTCTGTTCCATTGCCGTTTATCAATCAGTGAACACCGCTTAGCATGTCCATCAAGTGCTATGTACAGATTTCTTGTGCAGAGGCTTTTCTATCAATAAAACGTACACTGTTGTATAATTGGGTTTATTAATTGATATACGATATTTCATCTACTAAATCCTATTTCAATGACTTTATACAAAGAAAAGTAATTTATGTTATGTCTTTTTTTCTTTGTTTGCTAGAACACTGTAAAAAAATAACTAGTTAAAGTCACGAAGAAAAATAGTAAATTTTACTGTCCATACAATCACTACCTTAAAAGTAGTTTTACCAGATATTTACTAGATAAGATTAATAAATTTAGAATTGATATAAGTAACTTTCACTAGGTATCTAAGTATCTATACGACCCTCGCTCCACAACTCACTATCTTAACCAGTAAAATGAAAGTTTACTAATCACGGCCAACGCTTTACGAGGCACACTAGTTAAATTCACTAGGTTTTTCTTTCAGTGAACTGATATAAACATTACAGATATTGCAGAAAATTATCCAGCTTACACTTTTTTCTGCAAGATCTGCAATATTGATTCCCATATTTATATACTAGCAACAAAAGAGACATTTTATTGATTCAAAGTTGGGTTTTAATTTTCACTTAATGCTCGGACCAAATTTAAATGAAAGTTAATTTTTGTATCAGATTTCTGAATTTAGAGCCGCAAAAGTACAAACCCAATATAAGCTTCTTCATATCTGGATCTTTTACTAGAAACTGACGTTAATGGTTATCTTTATGAAAAACGAGATGACTTTAATGCTTCAATCGTCAACTTCCTTTACTTATGAAGCAATATACCTTCATCACCTGCACATGGGTTTTATATCTCTCAGTTGATTGATACGGAAGAGAGGTTTTATGCATGAACAATTTCTAAAACGAGGTAATTATTGACAAACAAGTTGATGAAACAAGAATATCAGCTGTCTCGTTTACAGTCATCAATTCTTAAGTTCCAAGGTCGATACATTGACCTTGTCAGCAAATACAATTTATCATTAAGTCAAATGCTGACTTTTTTTCATACTGAGTGTTAGTCCATTATTAACACACTGAGTTGCACGCGGATTTTCCGTCTTTTCATCGAACATGACAAGAAACACACGGTTCGCAATGTGTTAGGAATCGATCCCAAATAGGTTGCAATTTATCTTTATTTCTCTATTCTAATTAGTAGAGAGGATTTAAGATATGAAAATGACATTGTTAATGTTACGCAAAAGCTCTTTAAGATTGCTGTTTGTTCAGACACATTAAGGGCTTCATTCATTGTGTGGTCACTAAGTAGCCATGAGTGTCCACCGGAATCAGGGGGGACAACCACTTCCTGTGTACATGTAAACACGTAATGTTGCTCGCCGCTGACTCAGGGGCAATTAACGTACATGTATCTAGCAATTTTAGCATGTCTTTTAAATCCATGATTTAGAAGAAAAACTGAAAATAGACTAACGTCGAAATTTCACATCGAAAAAAGATTCCGAAAGTTATACATACATGTATTTAATAATGAATTAAAATTTTAAGTCTGTTCCCAGGTTTGCATGGGTTTTTGCATTTGGGACAGGCGTTGAGATGGCAAATAGTTATACAGTTAAATCTTTATAACTTAAAATCAAGACAACTCCATGTTACGTCTAATTTTAAAAGTGCAAAATCCAATTATTGCAACTGTCTGACCGCCATGGTTCAATAACCTCATCATGAATCCTTAAAATAATGATAATGTTTGATTTGGTTGGTTTAATGATCATATTTTGCGATGTTACATTCGAGTGGTAGTGATGTTATCGGAAGATTAAGCTGTTAATCCGGAAACTAACGATATATATGTGTAATTATCAGGGTTCTTAATCTCCTCCACCATCCCTTGTAATGAATGAAACAAATACTACACATTACTTATTAAAGCTGTTCCGATTCCAAACTAAACAACGTAGAAAACAAGCCATTAATTATTACTAGAGCTGAGTATTATTTCTCTTATTTACCCAAGTAGATTTAGCCAATCTGTGTTGCATTAACAATTATACTAATTACTTGGAATAATGACCAAATATTATTTTATAAGAGTTTAAAGATACAAGGTATGGTCAAAATCTGAGAATTACAGTGTATATAAGGAGTAGGCTAAAGTACGGGTATCAGTAAAATATTTGAAGACAAGCTCAAAAGTCTACTAAAGATTACAAATCAAGATCAGAGCAAAGACGTTCAGACCTTAAAACATCAAATGTGGAATCAGGTACCATGCAGGTGTGAACATCCCTACCGACCTGTCATACACGCCGTGTGCCCATTGTCATGATCGTGAAATAACGTAAAAATCCGTCGACAATTCGATACTTCCTTAAATATATCGGTTATATTGCCAATAAAAGAGAAGAATATAATATTCACTCTTTTTAATAAATGATACACGGATATAGGTTAGATAAGATAAGATAATATTTATTTAAAGTCGGGTATATCAAACAAAGAACATTAGCTCTGAAGAGCTATTTTCCGACTACATAATAATACATATTACATAAAATACAACAATCATATATAATGAACAAGAAACAGCTTTTAAATTTTTACATCACACTACTGAAATATCAGTATTACTAGTAGTAGATTGAATGCCAATAAATATAGAGGAAAATATCATATAGTATATTCTATTTATACATGATACACGGTATATATGTGTATTTTAAAAATCAACAGTACACTGAGTCCGCAGTTCCATGTATCTGGATTGACATTTGAATTCTGCACTCGATGATGTATTATTTGTAGCCTACCGATGCAATGACATATATTTCAGTGATTCGAGTGTCTACATCTAAGATCTTCACAAGAGAGTCATTAGATGATAAAAGAGGGTCCAAGTGGAAAAAAGCTTTAAATCTCCACGTTGACCTGTTTATTTACTTTGACTTTAAAACACATCGTAACTACTGCGGTTTTTTTTTTTTGTTTTTTGTTGTTGTTTTTTCTTTTTTTTCCCTTTTTTTTGGGGGGGGGGGGGTGTTTGTTTTTTTTTTGTTTTGTTTTCGTTGAAATTGTACACGTTGTACATGTTGTAAGCAAGGGAAAAGATGGGATAATGTGATAACCGTAGGAAATTTTTCTCCAGAGATTTTAACAAAACACGAAAAAAAAAAAAAAAAAAAAAAAAAAAAACACAATCCTAGCTTGCCGAAGCAAGTCTTACCTATATATACAGTCTTACATCCACGTAAAACATACTGGTCAGAAGTTATCTAATTGGCCAGGTCAAATTCTCAAATTTAAAGAAAATTTGTATAGGAGGCTGATTTAAAGTGTGTTAGAGAAACAAGAACATGTGTGATACACTGATACTAGATACCATAATGTAATAAATGTTTATTCCTACACACAAGAAGAAATACGCAGAAACGTGCATGTTTTCGCACATAGGCTATTATATACGTTGATGTTGGCAGAGTACCGTTACGCTTAACATTTTTGTTATATTTCAATCAAGCTGAAAAGTCGCATCGTTACAGAATAAAACCAACAGCATTTGATGATGCTTTCCCTATAGAATTCCCCACATAAATCTGGCTGCACTTGCTGTTTCTCAATATTGATTGATTCCACTCAGCCATAATGTCTGTCATTTTTATGCCGTGCACTTTTTTTATCCATTCTAACTAGAAATCATTACTTAGGAATTTGTGTGATGTACAAGTACATGTATATAAACAATACAAAAGCATAAATACCAATAGTACGTTTTTATTCAGATGTTTATTATGATAATTTAAGCAGCCATGGAGAGGAAGATTGAGAAACATGCCTAACCGCTAGTTATTCTTCTGAGTGCATGCCATCTTACAGCCCCCTTCCCCGCCGTGTCCAGCGAGGGAGACACAAAGACATGATAGAACCCTAAGTTCTTTATCGGACATTGTTTATTTTCATTAAGAATCTCTGAGAACACATACATAATGATTACTTACCACAATAAAAGTCACGAGAAAGATCAGATGACACTCCATCGTCAGGGTAACCATCGTCAGTATATCGGATCAGAATGAGGGTCCCCTCTCCCTCCGGCAATATTTACATCTGTATAAGTGTTCGGTAAGTACCGCTGTTTCCTGTGGTGGAGTCAATGGTCGCGCGATTTAGCGAGCGCTGATGTCGACGCCGATCGCGTGAGCCCATTGGAATATTATGTATGGCCTGATTTCTTGGATAATTATTATTTTCGCAATATGTATGCCACAGCATTGCGGGAAGCAATTCTTTATTATATTTTGAGTCAATTTGTACAACAGGAAGTGTCTAATTTGGTTATTTTATTTCCCTTACAAGGAATGTACACCTTTAAATTTTTAGCTGGTATGAGTGATCGAAATAA